TAGGTTTAGGATTAGGGTTAGGGGGTTAGGCGTAGGGTTAGGAGTTAATTTTAGGTTTAGGGTTTACAGTGTGCTTCTGTCTCCGCGCTGTTGTCGCCCTATTGATGACGTCAGCTACGTGGTTTAGTCGAGCGTGGTTTAGTCGAGCGCGGTTTTGTGGTGGAACTGGGAATAATCTGCCACTGGTTCTGATGATCTTACATTTGAGGGCAAGTTGATTAGTATTTTTCCATGATTCTAAATGCTGTTATCAAAATTATCCAAGTGTGAACTCTGGGCTTGCTAACTAACCCTAGTTCCTGCCTCTCAGTGGCAGTGTGTGGAGCTCCTACCGGAAAAGCTGTGTGGATATGGTCATGAAGTGGCTTGTACCAGAGAGCAGTGTTCGCTACGTCAACCGAATGACCAATGAAGCCCTCCACAAAGGTATTTTCTGTCTTGTGAAAGTTTAATCACCATCGGTAAACTCAGTTGGCTGACCAATATTGCATAATAGCCAGCTTTCAATCGAAGAAATGTTTGGCGCTTTCTGTCTCTGACATTGTTCGTGAAAAAAAAAAAGTAGGATAATTTGTCTAGAAAATTTGTAACGTTAAAGATTGTAGACATCTGTCTGGATTCTGGATTTTTAAGAGATTTCATTCAATCTCTGAATGATTATGGCCCACGAAGAAGCAGCAGTTAATTACTATCGTAGTTTCTGGTTTCAGATAGCAGATTTCAAAAATTCCATCCAAGATGACTTTATAATGTAATTAGTTTTGGAGAAAGCTGTATTGCAAGGACTATCTGCTTGCTAACTCTTTTTTTCTTTGTAATTGCAGGTTGCTCATTAAAATTCCTAGCAGATAATGAGCGGTACACATGGATTGTCTTATGAGATCTGATTCGGAAGCAAAACTTACACAACAGTTGTTCATTTTTTTGCCATAACTGTATGTCCAATTCAACTACCTCCTTGTTAAAACATTTTTAATTTTCCCATTTCTTTTAGTAGATGTTGCCAAGAGGATCTTGGATACATTAGCTTTTGTGAATAGAAACATCCTCTTCTTCCTTGTTGCTGTTGTGGGAGGGGTGGGGGTAGTATGTGAAAAGGCGAGGTTGCTTGAGACTCTGAAAAACACACTTTTCCTTGCAGATTAGGATTATTGTTTAAGGTGGCTCAACTTCAGATGATTTAGAAAAAGCAGAAAGTAGCTGTTTAACCTTCTATAGCAGTGTTTCTCAACCTTGCAACTTGAAGATGTCCGGACTTCAACTCCCAGAATTCCCCAGCCAGCGAATGCTGGCTGGGGAATTCTGGGAGTTGAAATCCGGACATCTTCAAGTTGCCAAGGTTGAGAAACACTGTTCTATAGTAATCTGTATTTGGTAAAGCTACAAGGGATAGGTGGGAATATCCTGTAAGATTTGACTCCCTCTAATGCAAGAACAAATTAATTCCAAGGCAACAATATTGTTTAAGGAGACCAAATCCCTTTCTTGTTTTAATGTCATTTTGTACTTGTTACTTTATCCATTTTTTTCCTTCTTAAATGTAAATGCCACCCCACCTCACATACCTAGTGGACTGATTACAAATGTTTTTTCTCTGTTTTCTCTCCAGCAGGTCTTATTCTCCTGCAATAAATATTTTAAACTGAGACTAACTCTCGTTGCTTCTTTTGCTCTCTGATGAAGAACTCAATAGGAATTACAGCATCACAAGAATTTTCACACAGGTTGACATTAGGGAATGTTTACTATCTGGAAACTATGCAAATTTAAGATGCTTACTGCTTGTTATACAAGAACATCCCATAATTCACACTGGCTGTCGTAATACATTCTTTTTTTTCATGGTGCCCCTACGTGTATCTGTCCATGCTTAGATTTGCTCAGTTTGAGCAAGGTGTTTCAGAATTGTGCGATTTCAGATAGCATAAATAACTATTATAAATATTTTTTCATAATGTTCAAGAGAATGTTGTCTTAAAAGATGGGAGGGTAATTAAAATTCAGGATAGGTATGAGAGGAAAGCATCATTTCCTCTTTCATTGGCAACCTTCACTTTGAATCAGAGGTAACAGTCCTCATGAATAAAATTCATATATTAGCAAAAATACGACTATAGGAATTTCAGACCCTAAGACGTTTAATATAAATGTCTTCCACTTTACAGTTATTATGAGTAGCAGCCTTTTTATAGAACTCCAATAGAAACACATTTGCCTGAAAACCTTGATTTAAAAAAAAAATGTATCGCAGAAGATATACAACTGTGAAATAGCAAAAGGGAGCCAAATGGCATTTGATTGTCTCAGAAAAAAAATCCTATAAGGCTATTCTCATTCCATTTAAAACATCAATTGTATTCATCCTATCTAAATGGTTCTGCCAGGATGGGGCACCGGCAGATGGATTTTTAAACATGACTGTGAAATGGATTTATTCCTCCCTGCTATTTGTAGCCTCTCTCAATTGTATGAAGAGTGGAATATAGCTCTGACTCTCTTTATATGTTTAGATCTGCAGTTCCCAAACCCTGTGCCATGGCAGGCACCCCAGCAAACTCGCAGGGGCAGCGTAGGATATTTAATAAATGGAACTGTTAGGGACCTTACTACGGGAAAGTTTGGGAACCTTCATCCAAGTCATAGAACCTGTGGTGGGATTGCCAAGCAGAATACCTTGATTTTTAATTTTGCAGGTGGCTGAAACGTGAGCTCATTTTTGCAAGAGTAAGCAAGCAGCATCCTAGGCAAAGAACACGGCTGAATTTATTTCTTAAGAAAGAACTACAAAAGGTAGAAAACAGCTGTTGCACTCTAGACTACACACACATACATCATCTGACCACAGACACTGCCCATCTCATGGGCCCAGGACACCCACAGAGCTCTTCAGACTCGACTCGTGGAGTCTTATAGAACAGCTAAAGCTGCTGCTGTTGCCGCCGCCGCACAAAAGATTGACACAAAATATATATTTTATACAATATGTAGATTTTGCAATAAACATCTATATCACAAGTTTAAAACACTGGAAAAATTGAACAAATAAGGCCATGATGGTTGAAAAACCCAAAAATATCAAGTAATTTTATCTTCACCAATCTCACAATATTTAGGTGGTTTATAGAACAAGAATTAGTTATTACATAGAAAAGCACAGATATTTTTTTTGTTTAAAACTAGAATATCTAATATTCAGTTACAAACCAGAAGAGTGATTACTTCCACTAGGGTAGCAAGTAATCAGATCTGTTTGCTTTAAGTTACTAGCACAGAGAGGGAACAGGACTGGTTCTGTGTGGGATACTAAATATACTCGGCAAGTATTTCTGCAGTATCCAGACTGACCTGGGTTTGCTCACAACTGTTCCTAGCTGCTCTGCAGCCAATTTGTTTAGTGAATAGAGAGAGTCCTGGTTCAGAAGGAAAGGATTTTGTTGTGTAAGGCAGCAACTGAATACAAAGGTAAGCTTTATTCATGTTGTTGGTCTTGTGTGATTGGTGGATCCAGCATTATGCAGTTTATAAAGAGAGGGAATAGCTTAGCTCACAGAAGCAAGGTTTTTGCAAAAAGATCAATTTTCTTTACCAGAATTGGGACTGTCATAAAGCTAAATGTAAACCTGCATACATTTTGGAGAGCAAGGATTGGGGGAAATGCTGGAACAGAGGAACCGATTTCTCAAAACCTGATTAGTGCTTGTCCTGGTAGATATCATTGGTTATCCTGTTGGCGCACGAAACTTACTATTCACTGATGGACATACTCATACATCCAACAAACCAAGGTATATGCACATGTCTAGGACAATGGAGTTGAAATTTTAGGTATGCCACGAGAATCGTACTGCAGAAACCATGGATACTACACACTGCTTTGCTACAGATTGTTTTATGAAAATGATAGTTGAGCCAGATAGAGGTATTAAGGTGCTTCTCTGAAAGACTGGGTTCTTAATGCAGGGGGTATTGGCTCTGGCACCTCTAGTAAAGGCAGGGGAGAATTTTTCTCTTTCACTTGGCATCTTGCAAATACTATTTATGCTTAATTCAAAACTAAGAGGTGCTTCATGTGCAAAACTTTTCCTTGAAGGCAACATTTTGCCTTGGGAGCAAAGCAAAAACGGTCCAAACTTTGTGTTTTCCCTCTTATTTACTCCCTTTCAAGATTGTGCCACTTCACAACTTGGGCTACTTACGTTAAAGACAGCTTTACGTAGAAATAGCTTTGTTAGGCTTACATATTTAAGAGGGATTACAAGGTAATATGTTTTATGTTCAGTCCCTGGAACACATTTGACTTCTCGTAGCAAAAGAAATTGGACAGAAAAATGATTTCATGACTAGAATCCCAAAGTATCTGATCCCGGTGCTCTTAATGTCACCTGCAGCTAAGGAATCTGCTTGCCTATTTAGCTGAGGATGGAAATAAAGACACTTTTAAAAATGGGTTTCTTTCATTAAGGCTTCCACTATAACTTCTGGTTTATCAGACTGAGTGCTTTTACATGGAAGGCTGGGCTAAATGGGGAGCATGTAGAGGTTGGGCTAAAACATAAGATACTGTTTTGACAGCTTCTGCCCATCCGTATCATTTAAAAGCCTACAGTTGTTTAACAGTCAAATGACTTCTGCAGGGGAATATTACAGTAATATCATGAATTTGGATTCAAGAATCATTGGCTATTAGTGCTTAAATAAGTTCATTAGAAAGGACACAACCACCAAATTATTTTCACAGAGATGCATATACCTCGCATAATCTTTCAAGATTTAGTCAAAAGGTGAAGAATAGCACTGGGAGTAATTTTGCCCAGCTGCAAAATAAAATACCTTTTGCTGCTAATGGAACCCAAGTCTTCCTGCTCCGTTCTAAATTAGCTGTAAAGTCAAAACAATTCCAGCTGATGAACTATGAATCCGGTTGTTTTATAATGATCATTTGTGCTATCGCTTCGCAAACAGGAAGGGAATCTGAATGGCTGGTCCTTGCTTACGGTTTTGTATGCATTCAGTTATTTTCTGGTCCATTTGGCTTCCTATTTCTCAGCAAGTTGGCAATGAAATGTCTGTCTATCATTTTGGCCATTAGAGTTTCTGTTGCATTCCCTGTTCTAGTTATTCTGCAGTAACATAAAAGTGGGCTAATAGAAGTTTATGCTGAGATGAGTAAGCACCCTGTTCCATAGTGGTGTAGCACTTCCTATACCCACTTACTAGCTTATTCCTGTATAGCAGGCAATCTTTGGACTACAAGCACTTGAAAATATATATATATAACCCCACTCCAATCACCAGCACTTCAATGGCCTTAAGAAGTCAACAGTGGGGCGAATGATTCTAAACATTGTTTCTTGGTCAATAAAAGGGTAGCCCCCAGCATCTGCCAAAGCTAACTGTACTTTTAGTACCACTAGCTTTACAAAGTAAGGCTTGAAAAATAAAAGGTATTAGCAAAACAGGTTGAGATAGTTAATGTTTGATGTGCTAGCAGAGTTCAAAAATGGCTCACTTAGGCTGCCTTCACACAAATAGCGTGGGATTTCATGACATGCCTCGGGTAATTCCGGGATTGGGCTAAAAGTTGCAAACGTATCACAATCGTCAGGAGAAGCACCAAGATGTGCTTCTGAAAGCTGCATCCAAAAACTGTATTCAGGGATGATAACCACGCAGCTCCTCCTGTTTGCCACCCTGCTCCCCAAAAGTAGGGAAAAGTAGAAACAGAAAAACCTTGCAGCAGAACTTCAAATGTACATTAAACATCCATAAATTTAGACATATTTAATGTGAGACTGATTTTTTTTAAAAAACATAACAGTGGGCTTGGATGAATTGTCCCAAGAGAGATTAGCGCTGGACAATCTGAAGAATTGGTATGAGCTCTATTAGAAAATCTAGAGTGGCAGGCACAACCTCAAGACGTTTCAACTGAAACCATGATGCTGAAATCTCCTTTTTTTTCCCCTCTAAAAAGAAAATGAAGCTGTAGCCAGAATTTTGCTGGGTCAGAAAGACGGGTACGGCAGATGGCACTTGTCCTAGTAATGATCATTATGTATACATCTATGGCAAACCAAACTTGGATACAATTACAGCTGCACAGAGTGTATGCTGCCCTATTCCAAATAACACCGCACCATTGAATAGCTGAAAAAAGCCCAGTTGCATATACTGCACTGAGAAAATCCACTTATAAATTCAGCCACTGCCACAGAAAGCTTCAAGAATTCAATGCTGATTATTACAAC